GTCTGTCTGTCTGTCTGTCTGTCTGTCTGTCTGTCTCTCTCTCTCTCTCTCACACACACACACACACACACACACCAGTGGATACTGTATTTGTTGAAAAAGTTACCTCAATAAATAACTCATGAATAAGGCCATCAAACGTCCACATTTACAGTAGGTTATTTTAAAGGTCTTTTTTTAAAGAAAAAAAAACATTTGCTAGTTATACGGTAGGAAGGCACAATGTAACTATAGCAGAATCCTGATATTTCTTCTAATATTGCACGTTATCAACAACAGATCAAAATACATTCCCATTTCAATTCTTTAAGAGTTCATCTATAAATACATTCAATCATGTGGAATGATGTATATCAAGTTAGGTGATGCTGTCCTTCTCTTGCAGCTGGATTGTAATGTGAGCTACTGAAATGTCTTCTTTTAAAGAGACAGAGTTCAATTTAAATTGAGCTCAGCTTCAAAAAAAATCATACAGTAAAATCAATTTAAGTGTTTCCTTTAAAGGTTTTTCTGCAACTGGAACCATCTCTAGTAAGTCAAGAAATTGCTTTCCTCGCTATCATATTTTTAAAGGTTTAGGAATTCGTATTCTTGAAACAAAAATATTTCAGAAGCCAAGAAATCTTAAATTTCCTCTTATATAATAGGAAAATAAGTACCAGGAGACAAACAAAAGAAAGGCACAAATAATGTATTATTCGGAGTATAAGACGCATCTTTTCCCTCAAAAAAGAACCTGAAAATCTGGGTGTGTCTTATACACTGAATACAGCATTTTTTGTCTCCTGAAACCCTTCACCAAAATGGCCATATATAGCTTTTAGAAGGCTTTCAGAGAGCTCCTGGGGGCTGGGAGGGCAGAAATGAGCAAAAAAGGAGTTATTTTTTTATCAATTTTGCCCCCCAGCCCCTAGGAGCACTCTATAAGCCTCCTAAAGACTACCCATGCCCCTTTCTTGACAAAAAATGGGCCCGTTTTCACGAAAAATGGGCCATTTCTTGCTCACTTTTGCACCCCCCCCCGCAGAAGTACTCTATAAGCCTCCAAAGGGCTATTCATGCTCTTTTAAAAACAAACGGGCCCGTTTTCACGAAAAATGGGCCGTTTTTGGGAGATTTGCAGGGTACAGAAACTTTTTTTAAAATTTGCCTCTTCAAAACCTTGGTGCGTATTATACTCTGAAAAATACGGTACAGTGTTATCCTATAAAATCAGATTTATCAGGCCACTAAGGGCAGCGTAACATATCACTTCAGTAATCAGAAATTGCAATAACAGGAGAATGACAGTTTTTCAGAGCAGGTGTTTAGAGAGAGGGGTATTAAGTAAGAGTAGATACTTTAGAGGACAATTTCTGCTACAACCACTCAAGCACTAAGTAGCTTTTTGTTAAATCTGAAAAGAACTGAAAGCCCAATAAAGAAACAAGAAAACCAGAAGCCTGACAATATCCTATCAATGAATCCACTGATATCAAGAGATTTTTCCCCAAATTGTGACATGGACTAGGCATATTTCAAGACTAGGGGTGATGATGAGAGGGAGGCAGGGAGGGAGGGAGGGAGAATGAATTATGCAGGTATAATTTCCCCTTTGAGATCAGGTCTACAGCTCGGTAGTTTGAGACCTGAATGCTGTGAGATGGAGTAGCTCCTGTCACTTGTCATGAACTTAGCAGTCAAAAGCATGCAAATACGAGTAGATGAATAGGTGCTGCATATAAGCACTGGGAAGATAACAGTGTTCTATCTTTAGCCGTATGCTTTGTGCAGCGGTGTGATGTCATGTTGGCCAAATGATTGCAGAAATGTCTCCGGATAACATTGGCTCTTTGGTTTCAGAAAAGGGAGATGAGCACCGCCCTCTAAAGCTGGTGACGACTAGTGAGGTAAAACCTGTGGGGACACCCTTACCGTTACCTTTTTAATAGTTGCTTTGGAGGAGGAAATGGATGCAGGATTGTTTTGTTTTGTTTTGGTGTATCTAAAAGTTTGGGTGATCTTTGAAATTTTTTTTTGATGTGCTTCTATAGTTTATTGAGCAGCTGGTTCCATTATAAAGCAGCATGTTCTAACATGGTCATTTAGAGAGTATAAAGATTGAGTAAAGTTTCTATATAAAGATATTCTGGGTACATTTCCAAAATTCCTACATTTCCAAAAGCTAGGGTTCATGAAGACTGGACCTCTTAAGATTATTTATAGAAGCCTCCATGCTAATTAAAGAAAAAAAAATCTTCAGTTTATGCCAATATCTCAGAAAACAGAAACTTGACTAGTAGATATACATTTGAGAAGAGCCAGGACTGGCATCTCCAGTATTTAAATAAAATCCCTTGATATTTTTCCCATCCACAAGAGAAAGGGTGACAGATCAAGTGCACCTCTGTCAACAGCTACTGGCTGGAAAACAGGTGAAAAGGTAGACAGACATTTCTAAAGACAGCAAAGGGACAACATACAACCTTTGTCATCATGACTTCTGTTTGGTAGTTTTGATAGCTTCATGTTGTACAAAACATGGACATTATCACATTATTACTAAAACATATTCAACATCTCTCTGTTTGTTTCTGATCCCAATTCGAAGATACAGATTTTAACTGTAGAGATCCTGTGGGAGGTACTTACTAAAGTGCAGCCCTATGACTGGGAAGACCAAATTTCCATTATGAGATTTGGCCAGTTGCTCTTACTTTACTCAGGCCACCTAATATGTCCTTATTGGACACCTATCCTTATTGTAAGGACAAAACAAAAGATTCATACATAAACTGCCTTGAGCTGAAGAAAATGTGGGATATCAAATAAACCAACAGAACATATATGATATGATATATTGGAAAGATGCCTGTTTTTACATGTTCCCATTCACATGATTAAATCTGAGACTTTGCTTAAGATACCATCTTTACTGAGGTATATTAAGTGGGCAGTCTTGGAACAGGACGTTTATGAAAAAGTTCCTCAAATGAGGTCACATGGCTCCTACTTTTTAACACTTTTTGCTGCAATAGAACTTTATAAATTATGTTCTTTCTACAATTTTATAGCTACACTTTTAATGTTGCTTTCAATTTCAGTTTGCATACTTTCAGTTTAAATTTTAGATTTGTTTTTAAAGTTTTGTAATCTGCCCTGGAAAAATTTGTTTTGAAAGTTGGATTATGAACTTTTCAAATATTTAAATGTATACATTAGCATTTTATAATTATGGTGAGGTTGGTTGACATAGAATTTTAAAAAGTGACTCTAAAAAACAAACTCTGAAATCTCCCAACTCTCTGAATCCTCACAGATATTCCATTTCACATAAACTCTGAGGTAGGGATCCTTACTGTGGAATCATGCTTCACCCAAAACAAGTGTTCATGACTTTCATACATAATTACCAATTATATATTTAATTTAATATATTTAATTTATGCAGTAATTAAGGATAGAGAAAATACATGTAGCAAAGGAAATTCAACTAAATATTATTAGTAATAATTTCAGAAGACACAATAAATTTCTTGCAAGGAAATTGGATATTGGCTCTGTTCAATGTCAATACCGTTGAGACGTATGTTTTAATATATTGATGCTAGGTTAAAAAGTTCAAACTACATTATTCCCATATATTTTAATATGTACCAAATTTATATATGAATAATTGTGGATATTGACCCTGGATATCATAGTAACAATATATGTTAAGACACATACACACACACACACGTATGTGCATATGTATGTAAGATCATATAACAATCAAAGTCAATGTTTCCCAAGTGTAGTAGCAATTTTCTGCCATTGGCCTTTAATACCCAGAATTTGCCTTTCGGCATGGCCATTGTTAAGAATACTGGGAGTTGAGGGCCATACATCTAAAAATTGCCAGGACTGGGAAACATTAAGTTTCTAGGTGCAGAAACCACAAAACATTGCTTAGTAACTTATCTATCTTTTAAAATACCCAAAATGATTGTTTATATTTAATGCACTTAAAATTATTGACAAGAAGTTTCATTTACTATGTAATAGCACTAAATCTAGCCTTAAAGCTGCAATTCTTATGACTTTTCCGAATACATATACTTAAAACAGTAATATCTAAGGCTTATTTTAATCTTTCATTTACCATTGGTTTTTGGAAACAGCTTCTTGTTTATTTATTTATTATTTATTTATTAAATTTATACATATTTATAATTCTACAAGTAATAGAACTATTGCATTTCCAGAGAACATTTCTCCACTAAAACTATGGAAAACCTTTTTGATAATATGAACTGATCTCCTTCCCAGTGCTTCATATTAAAAGAATCAATCAAATAGGAATAAAAGCTTCATTTTTATAAATCATAAGAATTCAGGTATATCCAAAGGCAAGGCATTTGAACAAGGAATGTAATAAGAAAGACTAAAACATTTGTCTTGCAAGGAGGAAAGTCTTTTACAAGTAAAATACTGTTTCAACTTTTAATTAACATTCAGTTGAATCAGTAGGCCAGTATTAGAAAGGATTGGAGGGAATCGTTAGTAGCCAAGTTTAAACACAATACAGGCACAGATAATGATGTTTTGATAAAAATGCTGCAGAATAGATTGCACCAAAATTTGGACAAAAATATTAGAAAATGCTTCCAACTCAACCAGAAAAGCATAAGGATACCAATTAGCTAGCACTGCTATTTTGAATGAGTGAATTTAGTTAGAAGATTTGAACAAGATTTTAATTATGATTAATGCTATTCCTACACTGCAATTTAAAAGATGCTGCTGGATTTAGAAAATGGCAAATAAATGATACATTTTATTACCTTCATCTCTTCTTCCATTTCAGAAAGTTTCCGTTCAAGGACTCGTTTTTCCTGTTCAGGAAATATTTTCACAGTGATCATCTTTCATGAGATTTGAGAAAGTACAAGAAATCTCATAGGCTTAAGGGTTTTCAAACACAATATAGTCCTACTCCAAGGCAAAAAAAATTGTGCCATATAATACTTCCCCTTTCTCAACTCTTATTCCTATTATTCTTTCCTGTTTCTTTCAACCCCAACTTTGAACAGACACACTAGCTGTGTTCTTTCAGTTTTTGATTCTATTTGTTTCTTCACATAACTGCACACTCAGACCAAATCTAATTTCCACATCTCACTGACAAGATAGGTTTTTTGTACTTAGATAACAAAAATGACACTGAAAAGGGCCAAATTCTTGTAGTTCAAGTAGTTCTTGATTTACGACCACAATTAGGACAAGTAATTCTGGTCATAAGTCAAGTCACCAGGGTGCAAATCCATCTTAAACAACAAAGATTGGCAAAAAAAAGTCAGAAATTGTGATCATATGTCCATGGAACACCGCAACTGGTTGTAAATGTGTGCTTGTTGCCAAATAGTCAAATTGTGATCATGTGACTGAAGATGGAGTGATGGTTGTAAGTTTCAATTCAGGTGATAACTGACATTTTCAGAGCTTTGTTAAATAGTTGTTAAACAAGGACTATTTGTATGCTGAAAAAGTTTTTTCAAACAATTATTCTCAAAAGTAACCCTTTCAAGTAATTGGAATATCAGATATTACTGCTGTACTTCAATGTATTTTTAACAATTTTGAAACAAATAATTATTCTTACTTCAGGTTTTCAAAATCAAAATGTAATCAATAAATACTCTATTTGTTATATAGCATTAACTGCCATACAATCAGAACTATGTCTAATATATAATGTTATATTGATCAAACTGCAAAATCCTGGCAGTTATAATGAACTTTTTAAAAAATAAAATGCTTTAAAGTTAATAAAAATATCAGTAAGCTAGCCTGAGAGCTTATTGTCTAAGCATAAGTATCAGCTACCATTTTTTGAGGACAAGCCCTATTCCCCACCACCCTAAACCAATTAGGAAAGCAATTTCCAGCCGTTGTACCATGTATTCCATTACAAATAGCATATAGCATCTTTTGTGGCTAGAAGTGGTGTTGTCAAATTCATTTGTTGAATTTTACTTCACTGTAAACAATCACCTCCACTCCAATTAGCTACTGTGTCCTGTAGCAGGTTCTACACAATGGATACCCTGGGCTATCCTCCTCTCCAGAAAGTAGGAACTTGAGATTCTCCCCCCCCCCTAATTTTATTCTACCTGCTCTCCTCCTTAGTTCTACTCTATTCATCTGCCTGCTCTTAGTATGTCTAAATCCTTAGCAATTATGAATAAGGGTAGAAAAGGAGCCAAAGAAAAGAATGGTCAGGTTGCTCTGGGCCTTTTTCCTTAACAATTTAACTGTTGTATCAGTGAAAAGCTGAAGCTTTTTTAAAAAAAATTCACCAATTAGCCAAAGAAATGGTAGATTTTCCCCTCCCCCACCTTTTCTGGATAAGGTGAAATTTATTAGTGCTCTATCAGTTTCCCCTTCTAGTCAAGTGACAAGAATGGAAAAATGGTCCCTCTTTTCCTTCACCACCATATCCGTCACACCATATAGGAAGGGAGAATAAAAGGGTGAGTTTGTAGAAGACGCTCCCACAAAATCGGACAGAACACCATGCTGTCAATAAAGAACAAAGGACTGAAATCTGGAAAGCAATTTCTTCAGATGCCTTCATTTCCAAACAGTTTACACAGAGAGCAGCCAAATAGCTTAAGATGCAGTGTAGAAATATTTTGAGAATTCAGTAAGTAACTTCAGGGGCCAGATATTATCCAAAAATAATTGGATGCTTTTGGAATCTTTTGTTAGGAAAAGAATACTCTTTCTGTTTTGCTGCTTGGTTTTAAAAATATTTATACAATCCAAGTACGATTCTGAAAACCAGTAAAGACATACCCTTTTTTCCATCTCAAGCATACTTGAACGATCTGAAGTTTTCTCCTGTTTCTGCTATTTAAAACAAACAAACAAAAAAAACCACTTTGTTACAAAGTAATAATTTTTGCAATATTGTTTAAAACAACAATCAAGTATTTATTAGAAATCCAGAGCAAACAAAGATTATTGCACTCAGTGTTTTTTCAGGAATTATTAATTCTCTTATCAACAATAATAAAACTTTTTTTAATTCCCTGCTTGTTTTTTTTAGTACATGATTTCCTAGAGTTTCTTCACCTGAGCTAGTTTGTCCATTTTTGACTTAATATCTGCGAGTTCCGTCTGGGCATCTTGCAGTTTAGATTTCAGTTTCTGGTTTTCAGACAGGGCACTCTCATAGAGCTAAACAGAAAAAAAGAAAACAAAATTGGAATTTTACCTCAGTATTGGATAATATTCCACCTATTGAACAATCGATGGTGACTTATTGGAGAATGATAGCTTGCAAGACTTGCTATTCCAGATCCTTTAGAAGAGCAAGGTTTACAGCTCAATTAATTTTAGAAGAGCAAGTTTTACAGCTCAATTAATTTTCAGTCAACATCTTCAGGTAACTGTATAATTTCATGAGACCCCTGAATCACTCCAGGCACATCTTTTTAGTTCATGTGGAATGAAAGCATGGACTAAAAGTACTTATCATAGCAGGCTTTGAATGTTACCAGATACAATTCAGTTTAAAGTGATTATTTGCATATTATTTCATATACCATTTTGGTTATTGATCGTCCAAGTAAACTAAATATATGCTCAAATGCAACTTGGAAAGTTCTTTTAAAAATTTGACATTATATTCAAAATTTACACCAACCTTTACTTATTCCATACAAAGGGAACCGAATCAAAATCAACAGCTCCATTGAAAAGGCAAACATAGAAATGCAAATACAGTTATTTGTCATACAGTCCAGACACTTTATTAAACTTGTTTGAAACTGGACTTTAACATCATTTTCTTGATATATTTCTATTTCTGTGTTTTATTGGGGCTTTAAATCTGTATTACTTTATTAGTTTCTTCCCCAATGGTTTCCAGCTACATTCAAAACGGCTTTGTATTAACTGCTAACAAGAAAACAGTGGGAATTAAAGAAGGGCTCAAGACAATCTTATCTAGTGATACAAAAAGGGTCATGTGGGAACTGGATATGCCTGCAAACATCCTCTTTGCAATTCCCAAAGACCTCCAAGTGGGTAAGTTGAATATTTTGCATTTGACACTGGGAAAGGTTAAGAAGAAAATAAGCTCTTAATGTTCTGACTCCCTATTTAAATCTCTTTATCACCTGCCTCCCATGGTACCTGATTCCCCTCGGCATGTGGCATTGAGGTAGTGAGAGACACCTAGCACAGGCTTCAAATGAAAAGAAAGAAAAAGAAAAGAAAAATTTGGCTCACCTTTTTATAATCCTTGCTACTATCATCTTCTGTTCTGCTGCTGAGCGCGGCTCTTCTGGTATAGGCACTGGTGCGGCCTGAGGGTCGATCACTATAGGTGTCACTAGTGCCAGTGCTTGAACTTGCTGAATCCAGCCTGAAGTTAAATATGGTTTAAAGCAGCTTCATTCACTTTCAAAACCATTTACAACTTCACAGGAAAAAAAGTTCTTATAGAAGAGATACTCAATGCAATGACAAAAGAATAACAAACTGCTCAAAGTAATTTACCTGTAACCTAGCAGGGGTAGAAGTGAAAGAAAGAAACGTTCATTCAAAACTGAAAGAATATAATATTAGAAAGACAAAGGAATTCAGGTGAAAGGTGACCATGCTGGTCAGATAAAAGATAGTAGTCATGAAAATAAATACAGGTAGTCCTCCACTTACGATCACAATTGAGCTCAAAATTTCTGTTGCTAAGTGTGACATGTGTTAAGTGAGTTTTGCCTCATTTTACAACCTTTCTTGCCATAGTTGTGAAGGGAATAGGTTATAGGTTAGGTTTATTTCACTTTTATGCCGTCCTATTCCCAGAGGGACTCAGGGCGGCTAACAAACCATGGGGAGGGGATAATACAACAAAAAACAAGGACAAGCGAACAAAATACAAAGACAATTTAAAAGCAATCAACAGCCACACAATTCGAGCGGGGATGGGTACTCATCAGCCCCAGGCCTGTTGGAACAGCCAGGTTTTAACGGCTTTGCGGAAAGCCTGAAGGGTGGTGAGGGTCCGGATCTCCACGGGGAGCTCGTTCCAGAGGGCCGGCGCAACCACAGAGAAGGCCCTCCTCCGGGTGGTCGACAATTGGCATTGGCCGGCATTGGCCGGCGGATGGAATTCTGAGGAGGCCTAGTCTGTGGGATCTAATAGGGAGGTAATCCTTATCTATAAATGGCTCCGACTCTGACTTTAAACCTGGCTCTTCCTCCAGGCCTTTGGGCCCTGATACGTCAGAGCCCCAATTGGATGATAGTGTTGCTGCTGTTTGAGTCACCATTTTAATGTTGTATTATTCCCTCTTGGTGAATGTAGTACACTTTTGTATACTTTTTGTCACATGTTGTTGCCATTCAGAATTATTTGGCATGAATTGGGCACCCACAGAAGTGAATTAAACAAATAAACCATCTTGTGAGAGACTGAGCAAGTGGGAGGTACCATTTCAAACTGAAGGTGAGAGAGAAAATTTAAAACCTCACCCATC